TGTTTTATCACGATAATTCAAGCATCATCTTTAGAGTAGGAATACAAAACGGAGAATTTAAGACCACGGTGTTGAATTTGTTTCAGTTTCAATGATAATATTTTTCTGCCTTTTATTGGCTTTCACTTGTTATTTTATTTCTTTGTAATGTTCCTTGCAGTGATGTCTGACGCAGCCGTTCATTGTTTCTTGTAGCAGACGATGCCCACTTGTCCTGATGGATCTTTCACGCTCATCAAAGAATGACTTCTGGTTGCTACAGAGTTCAGCCTCCACTGTGCTGTACATTTATATCTTGCAGGACAAGCGGTAATTTGCTCTCGTTAGATTATTTGGAAGAATACTATTGAAAGCTTAAATGGCGATTTCAGGCTCCAGGAACTTGTTTACACCCAGAAAGTGTTTAAGTAACCAGAACCCATCACAAATTCATTTTATAATGCATAATATTGATTTCATTATTGTAAGGGTATACTGTTAGACCCAAGGCTCCTATTTTAGTTGCACGAGGAACCATCTCATGTTCTCCATCACAGTTTAAATTACATAACGGTCTCAATCTTTGTGTCTCGTAACAAAAATAAGGAGCTGTTTCAGGATGCACTCATGCAATAACACCCTATTTAACATTTTGCCTGAGATTGATCAACTGAAATAGAAATCAAATAACATTTTCTTCATAAACATTGGACTAAATCAATTCTGGGGAATGGATATGGAACCCAGAATTGATCGTACTCTAATGCTTGCTGTGTTTCCCTCTGTCTTCCATCTATTTCAGCAACAGTGTCATTTATATAACTCCCTTTACTCAGGGTGGCACTTGATCATAAGTTTCTGGACTTGTGGTACTGGATAGCTTGATGGTTTAACGCACTGGTTTCCCTTCAGACACTTGGATTCTACTCCACCACCAGTGGGATGGAACTGAGTCCCTTCTTTCCATGAATTAAAATGAATCCAGCTTCAATTCTGTTGAGTGTCTAGGGTTGGCATAAGGACCCAGTGCAAACTTGCACTGAAATTAGATGTCTCACTCGAGGACCTAAGACAATGCAGGTACATGAAATAGACATGTAATTTGCTGTGAATAATGTGCTTATCTGATGAGATTGAGGCACAATTTAATGACTGGATTGAAGGCATTGTAACTGTCTTGCGATTGAAAATGATGCTGCATGCAAAAAAAACTTCCTGAGCATGGGCCTAAGTGTTTATTAACATTAATGTCTTTACTGCGGGCAAATGCAATCCTGGCTTGGTAGAGGCGTGCAGATGGAATTTTTCAACAAAGTCTGCGCTATCTTCGATTTGTTGTTTGGTCCAGGCTCTGTCACATTTGAATTCATTTTGACTTGTAATTTGTGTTTGAACATGTCCTTGGCAAGTGCTTAAAATACGACTCCAGTGCTGGCAAGTTCACCGTGATTACCCACAGAACTTGTGTTATACGCATGAATGATGCTGCCTTCCTTGCCTCTCTCTGTGAAATCTTGGGTTACCTTTTATATCTGTTCTGGCCATGACCCTGCTGGCATTGCACTTATTAATTACAAGCCTACTCCTTCTTTCTCTCAAAACTCAGCAGCACTGTACCTTGAGATTAAAAAAAAGGCATACCCTTGTTGAATATCAATGTGTTTTCCATCATCCGGCAAAAAAATCAAGTTAATGCTTTTTTCCAACCTAGATCCCATTTTAGCTTGTTGATATAAATATAATCTTTGCAATTGATACAGTACCTAAAACATTGAACATCGCAAAGCACTTTACAAAGTTTTCTGTAAAGTGTAGTGACTGTATTTTAAAGTAACGCAGCAGCCAATTTGTGGACAGCAAGTCCCGCAAACAACCATGAAGCAAATGATTAATTTTATCTGGGGGATTTTTGGCCAGGACATCGGGAGAAACTCCTTTCTCTTTTCGAATGGTGCCATGGGATCTTTAACGTTCACCTGAAACTTGAAGATGGGACTTCGGTTTAATGTTTCATCCAAAGGAAAGCACCTCTAGCAATGCAACACTTTCCCAGCACGGGACTAGAATGTCAGCCTGGACCTTAGACCTGAACCCACATCCTTCTGTTCCAGAGGCTAGAGTGCTAACGACTGAGCCAAGATGACTTTAGACTATGATTCTGCAGTGTAGTCTAAAATTAAAGATCTGATTTTATAGAAATTTATTGCCTTGTGCAGAAGGTTTATTTGCCCCACAGCTTTGTCAGTTTATTTCTCGTGTTTTGTCTCCCGATGGCATTTTTTTAATTTGGAATTTGTTTACGAGTAGATTTAGTGGCACGACCCTTTTGAGCTTGGGTATCTTTCACTCAAACAATTCTGAACTTTGCCTCAGAATAAAGGATCAGTGAACTGCATGTTGTTGATGTGGCTATGTGGTTTGGCTTGTGCAGAAGGCACTCCCTGGGTCCTATCCTTTATTTTTGCTGAAAGCGGAGTTTTGTTTATCTCAGGAAATCTAGGTTTTATTCCGTTGCTTCACATTCCTTCCACTGTTGATGTGTACAACTTAGTTGATGTGTACAGAGCATTAGCTTTTCGGGAACTAAGATGTTTCTCAGGTTCACAATTTCAGGCGTTTCTCAAAGGAACCATGTCCTCGAACATTACAAATTCTAGGTGATACCAATAATGTTTGCGTGTCTACACGTGCAAGAGAATTATGTGACTTAAACATACATATTGTTCAATTTGTCCAGATTTAATCTTCTTTAATTTATTTCAACATTTGTCATCCCCACCCTGTGTTTGCAGAGCTACTTTTACTCGTATTCCACGGTAAAAAAAATCTCTCTTCGAGATGAGTATGGTTCAGTTGTGAGGCCTTCACAGCTGACCATCTGTTGACACTTGTATCTTGAGTTCATGTATGAAGAATAGTCACTTGAGTGAGGTAACTGAAGGTACTTAGCTCCTGTGGGATTATACTCCAACAGGAAGGGAGTGGTGAAAGAAACCAAAGCAGCATATAAGATATCAAAGCATTTGTAATGTTTCAGTATGGAATTTATTGTATCTTGAGGCCTATGTGGTTTCATCTGCGGAATGCAGAGTTGAAAGGTCTGAGTGAGCTTCATCCCCATTCCCATACAAGCAACTTGTTTATCTTCTTGCAAAGACAGGATTCTTCACTTGCTTGTTCATAAAACTGTTTCTTGAATTGTGTGGTTTTGAAGAGAATCATCTCAATGTAATCTGCATCGAGAGAAGGTTGACTCTATGGTGTTGCTCACATGTGTGCGGCTTGCAAAACTGTCCCCTTTGTTGATGGCAACAGTTATTTAAAGTGAGTATTTATTATGTCACCCTGTGTTTATATAGTGCATTCATTTTACATTACCAAAGCGTAAGTGCTTTGAACTTTATGCTCAGGTTTCACAGATTTCAACTGGATTATCGTGCAGGTTTGTCGAGACTGCAGTTATTGATAAGTCGGGTGGCATGGAGTGGGTGGGAGAGAGAAATTGTGCAGTTTTTTGTAACTGCTTATATCCAGCAGTATATGATTTTCCTGATTCCCTTTAGCATTTGATTTTTTTTTAAACCGAACAGCATTTGATATGACTTTTAGTTCTAGCTCTGGTTTGAGAGTGTTATGCTAAAGGCCTTTACAAAAAACGCAACAACAACAAATCATATTTGTAAAGCACCTTTCATGTTGGGAGGATGTCCCAAGGCATTGGACAGTCAGGGATTTGGACCCTAGCAGGGGGTTGGGGGTGGAGGGAGGGTAGGGAAGGAGGGTGGCTAAAGGCTCGGTTGAAAAGGAGGGTCTTGAGTCGTGCTTTGAAGGAGGAAGGGCGGGAGCAAGGTGAAGGGGCTGTGGGATGAAGTTCCAAAGGGTGGGGTCAGAGAAGATGAAGGCCCGACCGCTGATGGTGGGGCGGTCCGGTCAGGGTGGGGGACGTGGAGCAGGTCGCAGCCTGCTGAGCGGACGGAGCAGACAGGTTTATATGTTATCGTTGCTTGGATCACAATTTTTTTGGGTAGGCTGGGTTTTTTCAGAGGAATGGCTATTTTAAGACCTTGAGATAATTGCTGTGAAACAGAAAATCTTTGCAATTCTTTATGTAATTGGATGAAAGTTACGCCCTGTGCCTTTTCTGGGACACGTCAATTGTAAATGTTTCAAATAACCTGGTCTTCTTAAATAAATAAAATAAAACTATTTGATGCTATTCTAGATTGGGGGCTTTGACACAGTGTTGGTAAGTCTACTTTGGATGAGTTTGTTTTGGAAGTTTTATAAAGTTGAAGTTGAAAGGAAAATTATTTTTAAGTGCAGTATTAAAATGTTTCTGAAGTCTAGTTATGGTGGTTTTGTGCAGCAAATCCTGTGTTCACGTTCCTAGAAAAGCAATAAAAACTTAATCTTTCTTTGATCTCCACATGCAACCGTTTCTAATTAGTAGAACATTCTAATGATGCAAAAGCCTGCACCCTATTTTTTGATAACCAGTCGCACAAATTGTTTCTTGTAGTGTGTGCACATACTTGCGCTTTATTCGCTGCAATGACTTCTCACAAGAAAATAAAATCTTAGATTATTTACATTTTTCAAAATGGTGCCTTCAAGCTCCCTGCCTCCCCCTGCCAGCCCCCCCCCCCCTACCCCCGCCACCATTACTTTCTAGTTGTACATGTGCAACAAACCCTTAGAATGAACCACCAACTTTCCAAGTTTCTTGTTTATTTTTACAGCCATCTGGGAATTTGTTTGATAATCTAAACATGCCCGTGGATGAATGCACGAACATCTTGACAACATTAATGTGCAAAATAATTATAATTGCCGTTTTGGGGATCACAAACTTTTTCCTGTGATTTATTGTGCTGTGATGATATATGTGCATGTAAAAAACAAAGCCGTGCGAGTTATTTAATTGCATCATGTGTACTATAATTAGCTCCAGTTAATGAATGGTGATGTGCTCACACATACCTAATCTGACATAACATTTTTTTTTCTTTTCTCCTTTGCAGGTTGCATGACTGGCTGGACTTTCTGCATGGCGGTTGCATGCCTAATGTCTTTTTGGATTTATGAGTAAACCGCTGCAGATATGGCTCACACTGTGATTAATGAGAGTGTACCAGGTAACCAATTACATTTTTCCTGCAACAATAATGTATCGTCAAGATCTATGTCAAGTGGTGATCTGTCCCAGGGCAGTGTCATGAGATTGCTTAAAAATCCTGCAATTCCTCCAGGCACATGAACTATTGGTACAAAACGTACAATTTCCGGATGGCAGAATTTCCGCTCTGTTTTCTGAGCAGGAATTCTTTGATGATTTGATTATGATGGGGAAAAAATCCCATTTGGAGGTCAACATCATGGATGTGCTGCACTGAGAGCTGGCCGGGATTTCAGCTTTCCATTAACAAAATGTGTTCCCTTCCTTGACTTTTCTGTTTCTGACCTTTAAAACGTTTGAGGCACCATCACTTATCGCCCACTCTTAATCACTGTCCAGTAAATTAAATAATGGGACCAAATGGATAATAAATGATGCTCTTCAAGTTATAGTATAAACAAAATGAATGCTAAATCTTGAATGCTTATTATCTTAATCAAAGAGTGTGATAGTTTGTTAAGCATGCAACTAATGTGTATGACCCGTGTGGTTTTTGGCTGTAGTGTTCAATAATGGTTTTCTATTGACAGTAACTGTAAGATTTTGTAGATGTTAACCCAAACCAATATGACGAATGTGTGTCCCCTGTTGCATAAGTTTGAATAAGTTTCAATCCATGTTTTGGTGGCTGACATGTCTGTATTTTTAAAAAAAACCGACTAATCCCCTCCCGAATCCTTCTTGTAACTTGGGTATGATTCTGAAAAGCTTTATAATTTGCCATCCATTGTATGAGAAATGTTAGCTTCTGATGTAAAGGATCTAATTTTAGGAACAATGAGTTAATGGGTGCTGAATATGAGCCAGACTGAAGCTACATAAAGCAAGATCTAAGCACATATCTAATTTGTTTTAAGTTCCTTGAGGTTGTAAGTTAGTACTTGACATTCAGAAAGAATCTGATGTGACCTCTCAGGGGAGCACTAATGACTAAACTAAAAGGTAGTTGAATGAGATCCAGTATAAAGTTGCATGTCGGGTTAGTAATTGGTTAGGTAATGGGAAAATAGGTAGTTATCATCAGTAATGATCTAATTGGGCAGATGAAATCAGATCCCTCCTGATGAGTCGCAGCCCATTCCTTTCACAACAACTCCATTATTGACCTTGAAGGTAGTTTTTTTTTAAAGTAGAATGTTTCTGCTGGTTGATGTAAAGAGATGAGGCTGGAGCATTCTTAAGGTATGTTAGCAAACTGTAGCATTTGACATTTAATGTCATGAACTGTAAGACAGTTCATAATAATGGAAAAATAGCAAGCATATTGTTAAACTGTTCCCACTATCCCTTATTTATGTCTGCCTTGAGTCACAATTCTCAAGATACAATAATTCTATTGGTCAGTAACTCTACGTTTCAGCCTGGCTCAATTGGTAGCATTCTCATCTCTGAATCAGAATGTTGTGCATTCAAGTCCTATGTCTTTGAGAACGCCAATTTAATATAGTGCTGGATTATTGGAGGAAGCGTCCTTTGGATGAGACATTAAATTGTTGGTAACCTGAAGTGAAGTGTCAGATGCCATCATTGGATACTTTGCTCAGTTCGGGCATTCATACCAAAAAAAAGTCAATCATTGGAAGGGCTTAAGGAGGACAAGGATGTGGTAAAGAAACTACCGTAATCCATACATTCAGAATCCTGAGGGATGGTGAGGTGAAACCAGAGTTGGTTTATAAAGTTAAAGAAATTGTGCAGGTTTAAGGGAAGTAATTATTTTACACGTATCTTTGCTGGAATGTGGAGTAGACTGGCTGGTTGGTATAGGGGCTAAGGATGTAGTGAAAGGGCCAATTGGATAGATTCTTCAACATGTGTATGTATTTTTCTGATCACTATTTGTCCAGGGTTATGGTCAGTCCGCTACCACACACCATCCTTAGTTGCAATCGGGTATGTGTCTTGCTCCTCAGTCACTATCAATGAGCTTTGGGCCAACTGCTTGTACTGCCTGAGAGCAGATTGAGGGTGAGACTGTTATTTTTGGCCACATCTCACTTTGGGATATAAATGAGAGCTTATTCTTTTTATAATCTGCAAAGGTAAGCCATTCTAACTACAGTTTTGGAACACATCTTCTGTTTCTTTCAAGGAGCTGTGTGCTATAATTGTGACCTGGCCTATGTTATACAACCGTTCAAAGTTCCACTGAGATGTATCTGTATTACAGGCAATCTTCCTCTAGTCGAGGCTGATGTATTCCTATTCTCTGCTCGGCTCCTGATCCGGATTTTGTTTTTCTCATTTCACGGGTTAAAAGTTACAAGGGGCATCTCTTAAATGTGTCTATCAATCTTCAAGCTTTTAGCTTCCAAGAGGTATCTGCTTGGCTCAGTTGGTACCAGTCTCGCTTCTGACCAGAAGTTTGTAGATTCACCAAGAACAACAACTTGCATTTATATAGCACCGTTCATGCAGGGCAGCGACTCAGAACATTTAAGGTTCAAGCCCCCCATCAGGACTTTCGAACTCATAGTCTAGGCTGACGCTTCAATACAGTGCTGAATGCTGCGTTGTTGCAGGTGCCGTCCTTCGGATAAGACATTAAACTGAGGTTGCGTCTCCCTGTTCAGGCAGAGTTAAAGATCCCATTACACTATTTGGAAAAGGGAAGGGAATTTCTCATGCTGTCCTGGCCAACAATCCTTCAGATATCCTCCAGATCATTGACTTCATTTGCAAGAAATATATTGAGGTGGGAAAAGAGTAAAAATAAAACATATAAAAGGCTACAGGAAAAATTTTAACATTTTTGTGTTGTATTTTGGTTTGTTGCCCTGGGAAGTGCTTTGAGACGTCCCACACGTGAAAGGCCCGATGTAAATAATAAGGTAAAATTGGTGACGGTATTAATTTTGTTGTTGAAGTTAATATTATTTGTTAATATTAACAAATATGGGTACAGTGACTTGAGGCGCCCACATACTTGAAATCCACATAGTATTCTTAAAAGTTAAGCTGAAGGAATCGGTGGTATATTTACTTACAGATTTAACCGCAGCTTTGAACTTTGAATGGTACAACATGGGAGTCTTGTACTCCAAAGTGGTGGCCTTGCTAAAGTTAGAGACGTTAGGATAATAAAATCATTATTTTTGAAGAATTGCTGTATGTGGGCTGTTCAGCAAATATTATAGAATGTAGACAATTGCAGAATGTGTCATTTGAAGGAGCTTTCACTTGAGTCAACCATTTATTGCAATGAGTGTATACCAGATAGAATAGCCAAGAGATATGTTTTCGCTTTATAGCTTACGGCACATTAATTTAGTTGTCGGGTTTAGCAGTGATGTTAAATTGCCTCTGTCTTAACATGAACATTCAATGCAGAAAGCCAGGCATGTGCGGGCTTCATTCAACAAGTGAAAAGCATTCACCTTGGGGGGATGGGGGAAGAGACAGGAAACTACAATATTCCTTTATGCCACCCATGAGGAGACTTACAGTTGAAGCTTGTGCAAGTAAAAGGACTGATATAATCGCTCCCCTTAGGCAGTGAGTGAGTGACTGTAATGCAAGCACCTCAAGTGTAGCATGTTGCTCCAAGCATCTGGAGCCCTGCTAAAGACTGTCAAGAAACATATTTTGGAAAAAAAAATTTATATTGCAACAGAACAAAGAATTACAAATCCAGTTAAAATATCATTCAGAATTACAGTACTATGTTTTGTTGTTACCAGATTAGAATAGTAGCGAGTTGACAAATCCGTTTTTAATGAAATTTACTAAATACATCCAAATATTTATTTGAATGAAGGATAAAATTTTCAACCACCCTCACCTACTTCAAAATAACAGTAACTATTATTGAAATCTTTCTTGGATTTCTTCCCATACCACAGGTATGTTAATGCCAACAAGTCCTTCCAAAGTAGCTTTACCCATCTTTTGAGTTCCTATCACTTAGATTGGTTGCACAGCATATTTCTTCCTTTTCCCCTCCCCATTGTTAACCATTTGTAAAAGTGCACCTTCCTTGTATCTGAATGCTCTGAACTGCACTGCAATGAGTTTCAGACTATATTTTATTTGCCATTAGCTTAATGTAATCTAATTTGAGCTATTTGAGGACAAGATGGAAAGCTCCAATGTTGCATTTGTGGCTTGTCATTTAATGCCATTTAATTGAGGTGTTTGTAAAATGACTGTGATTTACGAATGCCACCAGAAGTGTGCAATTGTATAATTTTATATTATAGAAGTAAAACCTAACTTAAAATCCATCTGAAGTATTTAGCTGATTTTGAAGCACTGGAGTTCATTTAAAATGAAAGATGCCTTGCATTTCATATACTATCATATCACGTCTTCAGGTGTTTAATACACGGTGGAGCAGTCTCCTCTAATCCCATTCTCTGTTCTTTCCCATAAGATTTAAATATTGATATTATTAATGATGTTGAATTATTTAGAACAGCTAAAGTACACCGGGGACAATCGGTTTCATGTGTCTGGGTTTCAGTACTCTGGCATTTTTTAAAAACTTTGTTTACTGCTCACTGGTCATGGAAGGCCCCGAGCTGAAAGTCCACTGTTCTACATCTAGCTTTCTGGATTTGGTCAGTGAGAGCGAGATTGGGGCTGGTTTGCTTCCAGCTCATTGAATATTATTGAATTTCCAGTGCCTTGGGATGTTCTCCTGACATGAAAGGTGCTATACAAATGTAATTTGTTGTCCTGAGCATCACTAACTTCAGCCCTTCACTTGCTCTCCCTGTTCACAATTGTGATCCCCATTTCGTAAGCAATGACCAGTGGAGAACTGGTGTGATATAATTTCCCTTGGGTTTTTTTGTTATAATCTTTGTGACTGTTAAATTGCATTTTGGTTTAATTACTTTTTAATCTTTTTTGAAATTCATTTAAGAAAAATAAAAAGTAAAAATGCAAAACTAGTTTAATGCACCACTAGCCTAATTGGCACTTGCGTTGGAACCAGACCTCGTCCATAAAGCAACA